TAAACTCGAAACCCCAAACCCAAAATCATTTCGAGAAATACCCAGATCAGCAAGGTGCTCTGGTTCAGGCCTGAGGCCTGCTCAGGGGGTTTGAGGGCTTAGGGGTAAAGAGTTTAGAGTTTCAGGTGTAGGGTTGAGGGATTAGGGTTAAGGGTTTAGGGTTGAGGGCTTAGGATTTAGGGTTTAGGGTTGAGGGTTCGGGTTTAGGGGTTCAGGGCTTGAAGTTTTTGAGGGCGAAGCGTTTTTTAGGGTTATAGGCTTTGGGTTTGGGCTCAGGGGGATCTTTGCGGGATTTTGGGTGCGTAAAAGGGGTCCCTGATAGGCATTATGTGGTGATTATTTGGGAGCCCCCGCTGTCAAATCGATCCATCCTTGAATCCGGAGAAACCCGAGAATGAACCCTCATCCCGCTGCGTGTCTTCGTTCCTGCGGCTTGCAAAGTGGGCGTGCTAACCATCAACCCTACTCGTGGTCTCCGGGAACGCTGAACTATAACTGCTACCTGCAACCCAACTTTGATCGCATCAGGGTTTCGACAGCCTTGTAACCGCGTATAAATGACCGGGTGTAGAGAACCGCGAAATTGGGCTGCAAAAGCCCTGAAACTTGAATCCTAGACCCCAAACCCTAGTAAACACTAGGCCCTACATCTCCAGGTAGACCGCTATTATCCATATGTAATACATTCCCTTATTCCCTTCGAATACTAAACCCTACATGCACGTTAATTCCCTACTTAGTAGGACCCTAAACCCTAAACCCTAAACCCTAAACTTACTAACCCCCCGGTAAGTTGACTCTCTGATCTGTCCCACCTGCGAACGTGCTCTCCCTTCTCGACGAAGAGGCGTTTCAGGACCACCTCCTGCTTACACGGTACGTGGTGCTTGTTTGAATGTGAGGTTCAGGGTTTTGCCTTTTGCGCTTAGGGTTTTGGGGCAAAGGGCCAAGGGTTTCAGGTATAGGGTGTTAATGTTTCGTGTTTTAGGGTTGTGGTCTGCCCAACGAGCTAGGCATTAGAGGGTTGTGGTTAGGGATTAGGCTAGGTAGGTGTATTACGAAGCACTAGCACTGACTATAACAGCGGTCTTGAAGCCTTCGACCCTGACCCTAAACCCTAAACTCGATGGAACCTGGTTAGAACTGATGCTTTTCGCTACTTAGACCTGCAGCATGGACAACCCCTAAACCCTAAGCCCTAAACCCTAAACCCCTCAACCCCTAAACCCCTAAACCCCTCAACCCCTAAGCCGACTCTTAAAAGGGACCCCAGCAAGGTACCCCTACTTTTGGGAAACTGTCATGTAATTAGGGGGGACCATCCTGCCCACAGCCTGTGAAGCAAGGGCGATTTTGATGGGCCCATTCCCTTGTGACTCCGCCATTGCTATAGGAGCCCTGGATTGGGGTGAAGGGTTTGGGGTCTAGGGTTTAGGGAGTAGGGCTTAGGGCTTAGGGTTTAGGAGTCCGAATGCTCCGTGGGACGTCATTTATCTGGAAACCTTTTTTTGCACTAGATGTTCCATACTTGCAGGGCAGAAGTGGAAATTTATGTACATGCGCATGTGGGTACTCATTTACACATGTCAGAGTCTCTAGAAACTGGAGAGTGTTTGACGAAGTCTTAGAACCTTCAGTCTCCGACATTTTTTAAACCCTAAACCCTAAACCCCAAGGTACATCCCAGGGTCCGGCCCTGCTTTCGGAGCAGGCAGGGGGACCATGAGATTTCCACATTACATGAGCCATAGCCTAAACTCCTAGTATCCCCCTTAATAATGAATAATGTAAAATAACATGGAAAATGAAATAGAAACAGCTGTATATAGGGTTATGTGGGGGATTATAGGGGTTTAGGGGTTATGGTCTAAACTCCTAGTATCCCCCTTAATTAATGAGCCTTATAACAGTCCCCCATATAATCCCCTATATATCCCCCAAAACCTTAAACCCTAAACCCTAAACCCTAAACCTATATATCCCCCTGTAAGGAATTTCAACCTGTGCACTGCGAGGTTGACTCTGCGCTTGCCATTTCTGCCTTCGGGCACAAAGCCCGCAACCCCACCGCATCACATGGGAGCTTCCCAAAATTAGGGAATATAGGGTTTAGGGTTTAGGGTACCCTTTTCAATTCCCCATAATAAGGACTGTAATATTTTGAAGTCTATATTGGGGTCGCCTTATTTCATCCCCGCAAGTCCACTTGCACAATGCCTTGGTTGCGACGATGGACCTTGCATGGAATTCCACACCGGTCAACCAGGTTCAGAACTGATGCCCGCACATCTGATGTCTGCCATAGCTCACGCGACTTACCCCACCCCGTTATGATCTGTAAAGACGTGAGACTCTTCCCCATGGCCGCTGTTTCTGGAACGATCTCAGCCAGCCACCACGGCACAGGTAGCGTAGCTGAGCCGCAGGAATGATCGTAAAGATCCAGCTGCGTGCCTCCTCTGCATAACATGGCTTGCCATGCTTGGTCCTCGAGGGCCTGCTGGAAAAGAACCAAGAACACAGCCCGCTCCCCCTGGATAGATTGATTCCGAAACCTGAGCATAAGACTCCCGACTTGGTGTTTGCCCCTTTGACACAATGCGTAGAAGAGTGCCGAAGCCATGTGACGTGCAGCGCCGCATACCACTATACCACCATCAAAGCTGATCACATCTGGTATGACTCTAGCTGCAGGCATCTGCACCAACAGAAACAAAGCCATCTGCCACTTGCCACCTTTCTCACATGTGCTGATGCCGGCACTCAAGCTGATCTCATTTGGTATGACTCTAGCTGCAGGCCTCTGCGAATCTGCGCCAACAAGCCCAAAGCCATCTGCCACTCGCCGCCTTTCTCACATGCGCTGATGCCGGCATTCAAGCTGATC